TTATGTTGTCTGCAAATAATGACAGTTTGACTTCCTCCTTTCCTAATTGAAAACTTTGTATTTCTTTTACTTGCTTGATTGCTCTGGCTAGAACTTCTAGTTCTAATACTGTATTGATTATACAGTATTATATTCAACACTCCTAATACTGTATTGAATAGGAGTGGTGAGAGAGGGCATCCTTGTCTAGTGCCAGATTTCAAAGGGAATTCTTCCATCTTTTCTCCATTCAGTATGCTATTGGCTGTAGGTTTGTCGTATATAGCCTTTATCATTTTATGGTATGTTCCATCAATACCTAGTTTATGAGTTTTTAGCATGAAGGGCTGTTGAATTTTGTCGAAGGCCTTCTCTGCACCTATTGATAAATCATGTGGTTTTTGTCTTTGCTTCCATTTATGTGATGGATTACATTTACGGATTTGCGTATGTTGAACCCACTTTGCATCCCCAGGATGAAGCCTAATTGATCTTGATGAATACGTTTTTTGATGTGCTGTTGCATTTGGTTTGCCAGCATTTTTTTTGAAGATTTTCATGTCAATGTTCATCATGGATATTGGCCTGAAGTTCTCCTTTTTAGATGAGTCTCTGCCTGGTTTTGGTATCAGGATGATGTTGGTCTCATAGAATGAGTTAGGGAGGATTCCCTCTTTTTGTATTGTTTGATATAGTTTCAGAAGGAATGGAACCAGCTCCTCTGTGTACATCTTGTAGAATTCAGCTGTAAACCCATCTGAACCTGGATGTTTTTTGGTTGGTACGCTATTGATTGCTGCCTCAACTTCAGCCCTTTTTATTGGTCTATTCAGGGTTTCCACTTCCTCCTGGGTTAGTCTTGGTAGAGTACAAGTGTCCAGGAATTTATTTATTTCTTACTGGTTAACTGGTTTATGTGCATAGAGCTGTTTGTAGTAATCTGATGGTAGTTTGTGTTCTGTGGAATCAGTGATAATATCCTCTTTATCATTTTTTATTGCATCTATTTGATTCTTCTCCCTTTTCTTTTTATTAAACTGGGTATCAGTCTATTTTGTTGATCTTTTCAAAAAACCAGCTCCAGGATTTATTGATTTTTTTGAAGGTTTTTTTGTGTCTCTACCTCCTTCATTTCTGCTCTGATCTTAGTTATTTCTTGTCTTCTGCTAGCTTTTCAGTTTTTTTTTATCTTCCTCTTTTAGCTCCTTCAATTTTGATAATAGGGTGTCAATTTTAGATCTTCCTGGTTTCTCATGTGGGCATTTATTGCTATAAATTTCCCTCTCGACACTGCTTTAAATGTGTTCCAGAGTTTCTGGTAAGTTGTGTCTTCATTCTTACTGATTTCGAAGAACATTTTTATTCTGCCTTCATTTCATTGGATGAAGTCGACACTCAGAAGCAAGTTGATCAGTTTCCAAGTGGTTATGCGGGTTCGAGTGTGTTTCTTAATCCTGAGTTCTAATCTGATTGCGCTGTGGTCTTATAGACTATTTGTTATGATTTCTGTTCTTTTGCATTTGCTGAGGAGTGATTTGCTTCCAATGATGTGGCCAATTTTAGAGTAAGTGAGATGTGGTGCTGAGAAAAATGTATATTCTGTGGATTTGGGTGGAGCATTTTGTATATGTCTCTTAGGTTGCTTGGTCCTGCTCTGCATTCAAGTCCTGGATATCCTTGTTAATTTTCTGTCCCATTGATCTGTCTAATATTGACAGTGGAGTGTTGAAGTCTCCCACTGTTACTGTGTGGGAGTCTGAATCTCGGTTTAGTTTGTTAAGAAGTTGCTTTATGTATCCAAGTGCTCCTGTGTTGGGTGTGTATATATTTAGGATAGTTAGCTCTTCTTGTTGGATTGATTGTTTTACCATTATGTAGCATCCTTCTTTGTCTCTTTTGATCTTTGTTGGTTTGAAGTCCATTTTATCAGAGACTAGGATTGCAACCCCTGCTTTTTTTGGTTCTCCATTTGCTTGGTAAATCTTCTCCCATCCCTTTATTTTGAGTCTGTGTCTTTGTATGTGAGATGGGTTTCCTGAATACAGCACACCAATGGGTCTTGACTTTTTATCCAGTTTGCCAGTCTGTGTCTTTTGATTGGGGCATTTAGGCTGTTTCACTCAATGTTGATGTCATTATGTATGAATTTGATCCTGCCATTTTGTTACTGGCTGGTTTTCTTCCCCGTTAGTTGATTCATTTTCTTCATTGCATTTTTGGTCTTTGCCATTTGGTGTGCCTTTGCAGTGGCTGGTACTTTTTCCTTTCCATGCTTAGTGTTTCTTTGAGGAGGCTCTCGTAGGGCAGGTCTGGTGGTGATGAAATCTCTCAGTAATTGCTTGTCCATAAAGGATTTTATTTCTCCTTCACTTACGGAGCTTAGTTTGGCTGGATGTGAGATTCTGGGTTGAAAGTTCTTTTCTCTAACAATGTTAAATATTGGTCCCCACTCTATTCTGGTTTGTAGGGTTTCTTCTGAGATACCTGCTGTGAGTTTGACTGGCTTCCCTCGGTGGGTGACCTGACTTTTCTCTCTGGCTGCCCTTAGCATTTTTTCCTTTGTTTCAACCCTGGTGAATCTGACAATTATGTGCCTTGGGGTTGCTCTTCTTGAGGAGTATCTTCGTGGATTTCTCTGAATTTTTTGAATTTGAAACTTGGACTGCCTTGCTAGGCTTGGGAAGTTTTCCTGGATAATATCCTGGAGCATGTTTTCCAGCTTGGATTTATTCTCCCCATCATAATTCAGGTACACCGATCAAGCGTAGATTAGGTCTTTTCACATAATTCCATATTTCTTGGAGGCTTTGTTCATTTATTTTCACTCTTTTTTCTCTGGTCTTACCTTCTCTTTTTATTTCATTGAGTTGATCTTCAATCTCTGATATCCTTTCTTCCGTTTGATTGATTCGGCTATTAAAACTTGTGTTTGCTTCACATAGTTCTCGTGCTGTGTTTTTCAACTCCATCAAGTCGTTTATGTTCTTCACTAAGCTGGTTATTCTAGTTTGTGTTTCGTCTAACCTTTTTTCAAGGTTTGTGGTTTCTTTGCATTGAGTTAGAACGTGTTCCTGTAGCTCAGAAAAGTTTGTTATTATCCACCTTCCGAAGCCTGTTTCTGTCAATTTGTCGCATTCTTTCTCGGTCATGTGTGTTCCCATGTTGTTGAGGAGTTGTGGTTGTATTCCCATGTTGAGGAGTTGTGATCCTTTGATGGAGAAGAGGTGTTCTAGTCTTTGATGGTTTCATCTTTTTTGTGCTGGTTTTTTCCATCTTCGTGGATTTACCTGGCTGTGAACTCAGGGAGCTGCTTGATGAGGTCATTTGTCTGCCTGTGGAGGCACTACTGGGTTTCTAGGGACTCCTTCAGGTTACTAGATAAGCTTTCTGTGTCTTTTTTGTTTACACTGGGAGGTTAGGCCTACCTCTTCCGCTGACCTAGAGGCACTGCTGGGTGGTCAAGAACACCGTCCCATTGCTACTTAGGCTTCCTGTGTTTTTGTTAAAACATGAAGCCTAGTCCCACTTTAATGGTGGGATGTGTCTTTCCTCCACAGGGCTGGATCATTCAGGGTTCAGCTCAGACTGAGGTACTGGCTGTGTAACCCACTAGAGTTAGTGCTTCAGCCCTCTAGGGTTTGTTGGGGAGGGTAGGGACCCACCTAGCTGCTCCATCTGTCTTCCTGCTTTCAGCTCCCTCTCTCTCCAGGCAGGGGGAGGGGGTGATAGATTCGTCTGCAGGCTCCCCCAGCCGGCTTATGGGCTTTTGCCTTTGCTTAGGTCTGTGTAGATTATTATTCAACTCTGCGCTTGTAATTCCCGGCACTTAACTGGCAAAAATCCCCTGTTCTGTGTATTGCTGAGGCTTTGGGGGAAGCGCTGTATCTGGACTGGAGTACTAGATTGGAAGCTTCCAACTCACCAGTCAGATGCACTTTCTGGGTGAAGTGGCACCCCTCCCGACCTCGGTCTGCCCTGCCTGGGTTTTGCTCACCGTCCGACCAGACCTTTTGAAATGCACCTGGTACCTTGGTTGGAAGTAGGAGATCTCTCGATTTCTGCATCTCTCTCACTGGGTGTTGTGCACCCGAGTTGTGTCTATTCAGCTATCTTGACTCCCCAATACTTTCCTTATCTTTAAGGAAAGGATTATGATGCCTACTATGGAAAGAATAAATATAAATAAATAAGAGATATATGTAAAACATCTGTTCCGTGTTAACTACCAGTTATTAAATGACTATTATTTTTATTGTGATCTTTTACTCAAGTAAAAATTTTACATGGTCATCACTTTCCTTGGGTTTCTTCCTCTAACCACAAAAGTAAATTTGGAAAAAGGTGATTCTGTCACGTAAACTGTCAACATTCTAAGCATGTTTCTTTAGAAAAACAAAAAGGAAATAGTATTACTTTTATAATAAATATATGTTTTGTCACTAGATATTATAGGACTCTATCCTATCAGAAAGAACCAGTATCCAAACTTGGAAATACTTCATCATTGTTAACATAAACTTTTTGAAAGTAGAGATTATAAAAAATGAGTCCAGAGGGGGAAACAAAAGATTATATGAGTATGCAACTAACATATATGATAATTTGGGTGTTATAGGGGATGGAGGGTTCATTATCTTTAATAATCTCAAGTATCCAGTTGGCATTGGAATTGGGAGTCTCAAAAAGAGAAGGAGCATGGGGCATCGATTAAGCTAAGGTAAAACCAGCCAATAACAGTTGAGGAATATTGCATCTGATTGCAGCTGTATAATCAGTTGTTCAGTAACAAGATAGGATTTCTCATTAGCTAATAATGGGTACAAAAATGCCAAGAGCAGCAAGGGAAGACACCTATTTTGGGCAAGGAGAAACAGCCTTAGAGTGACAGCTCTGAAACAAAGCTCTGTAATTCTTCTAAGCAATAAAACCAAACAAAAATTATTAGTATCTGAACAACTTTTATGTTTTTGGAAATGCTGTATATTTTTCCTACCAAAAAAAAAAAACATGTTTTATTGTAGGAAATGAAAAATAATCCTGTGCATTTAATCACTGAAGAAGATCTGAAACAAATCTCCATTTTAGAAAGCGTTAGCACAAGTAAAAAGGATAAAAAAGATGAGCGAAGAAGGAAAGCAGCAGGTAATAAATTGTTAACAAGAAATATTTAAAGATAAGTTTTGTATTTGTTGCAGTGAACTTTGCATTTATTACATTTATTATGCCCTTTGAAAGGCCTTTTATTTTATTGATTTACCTTTAAACAACTAATGTCAACCAAATAGTTTGCTAATGTGTTAAATTTTACATATTGAAATCGAAATATTGGTGATTATGTTTTCTGCTTTCTTTTGTGAAAACTTAATTTCATCATCACGCTGATGTCTTATTTTCCCCCCATCCTCTCTATATGTTCCAGCCCTCTACCCCGTAGCTTTTTTTTTTTTTTTTTTTTTTTTTAATTCTCAAACTTGCCAGGATCATGTTCACCTTAAAGCTTTTGCACTAACTTTCTTTTTACCTGGAATGCCCTCTCCCAGACTTTAAGTAACTGGTTTCTTCTTTTCATTCAGAGCTCCACTTTAAATTCCACTTCATTAGAGAGGCCTCCTAACCCTTCAGCATAGCAGCCGCAGTCACTCTCTGCCACCTCATTTTGTCAGTTTATTTGCATCACTTTATCACTGTGCTGTGTTTTATTGTTTGAGAACCTTGGTGATCTCATTTATTGTTGTACTCTTGGTACATACCTAAAGAGCCACTTGGTATATTTTATGTGTTCTATAAACATACTTATTAAATGAAAGAATTTCTCAGTAAAATATTTTAAATTTCTTTTTCTAATCTATAGTCACTAGAAATTATTCTGGGTATCACTGGTATGCTTGTAATTTGCATTGGAAAAGTAACATATTTCCATAATTTTTATATTAGGAACAGTGTTACTAGTGCTTTCTCAGAGCTAAAGAACTTCAGTATACATTTTTCATTAATAAATACAGTCTTAATTCTTTGAGATAGTTTATTTTCTCTTCAAAAATCTTTTTCTGTAAAACCTTTAAATGGCATTATGAAGTTTATCTATTCTTCCAGGAAAATTAATTGCTTCAGTAAATCACAGTAATAGTCATAGCTATGCATATTTTGTCATATTATTTGAAGAGATAAATTTGCCTTGCTCAGTTGATGACTTATGTCAGTATAACTAGTGTATTTAATATTTTATTTTATTTTTTTTTTTTTTGAGACAGAGTTTCGCTCTTGTTACCCAGGCTGGAGTGCAATGGCGCGATCTCGGCTCACCGCAACCTCCGCCTCCTGGGTTTAGGCAATTCTCCTGCCTCAGCCTCCTGAGTAACTGGGATTACAGGCACACGCCACCATGCCCAGCTAATTTTTTTGTATTTTTAGTAGAGACGGGGTTTCACCATGTTGACCAGGATGGTCTAGATCTCTTGACCTCGTGATCCACCCGCCTCGGCCTCCCAAAGTGCTGGGATTACAGGCTTGAGCCGCCGCGCCCAGCAATATTTTATTTCTTATTAAAAGTTAATGGTCATTTGGTGCTTTATTCTTAGTGATACTATTGTATTATAATTGTTTACATTATGTAGAATCACGTCAATCATGAATGTCCTCCCAATAGGAAACTTATTTCCAAATGTAAAAAGCATGTTTATTTTACACTTATACTTTTGAAAATACAATTTTTTCATTATAAAAGCAAGGGAAGAATAAATTAATAGATGTTTAATTCTAGGATATGATGAAATATAAGGGAAATCTATTTAGAATTTAGAAAAAGACCTTCAGTAATGACTTTATTAAGAAGACTAATTTGTTACTTATTTTGAAGTAATATAATACAGTTGTAATATGTTTCAGTGGTTTCAACTCTTTATAAATATTTCAATTTTGTAGAGTAGATATTTTACATGTAAATATCAAATAGCAGGGAAAAGCTGAAATAGTATTTTTTTATTTACTGTGTTTGCATTTGTTTTATCATTTGTTTTTTTAAGTTTATAGTCAATAGGTGATTGACAATGATATTTTCCTACTTAACCAATTAATTATTCATGGTCAGTATTTATGGAGTGTGTGTTTCAAGCATTTCTGTAAAGAATATACACATTGAGACATGATCCTTGCTCTTAAGAAGTTTATAATCTGGTTGAGTGGTAGGTGAGTCAGGATGTCTCCTCTAAAAACAGATAATAATCTTTCAACCAACAAGGCAAAATAAGTATAATTAAATTAGTGAAGTCTTATAATAGAAGGTTATTGATGAGGCTGTGGTAACACAGATGATCAAAGGAGGACACACTTCTTTTGGGGAAGGTAGAAGAGGAGGTGAAGGAATAGATTTTGATTAAGAAAATATTGAGAGCTCCAGAAAAGAGGTGACATTAGAGAAGGAGAAAGAGAATGCATTTAGAGCAGTCAGGCTATCTTAAGTAGATTGCCCAAGGGATTTCATATTTTATTCTTTATTAGTTATGTATTGGAGTTACTAAACTCTTAATAAGGGAGCTTCAAATTTAAAAAGAGTCTAAAAGTTTATTTGGCCTTTATTTTTTCTGCTATAAAGTTAAATACAGCAATATAGTGTCATTATTTTCATGATTTAGGTAAGCAATGCTAACTTACGTCATTTTCCCACCAGAGGGCAGTGGAAGCATGAGAGGAGGAGGTGGGGGCAATGCCAGAGAGTACAAAATAAAAAAAATCAAGAAGAAAGGAAGAAAAGATGATGATAGTGATGATGAATCTCAGTCATCCCATACTGGTAGGTAGCTTTTCTTTACTTTTCCTTGGTGTATGTGTGATATTTTTTATCATGTTTTCTTAAGATGTATATAATTAGATATATATGCTTATACTGGAAGTCCTTGTTTTGCAGTTTCAGTGGCACAAATTTCAGTTACCACACTTTAGTCAAATGACATCAGTCTAATAACAAGACTGTTTATCTTAAATATTAGATACAAAGATGCTTTAGTATATTAACTGAGTATTGTATAAAGTACAGATTTTACTGCCAGCTCTTCAGTCCACAAATTACTACATAAATAACAGATGCATATCATTATCTGTGACAGTCACACCACTTATTTTATAGTTTGTCAATGATTGGTCACTGCACATTGGTTATTCCTTATGCACAAATGACAAAGCGTGTAGCTGTGTTGCCTCCTTGTCTCCTGGTAAACGCTGTGATATTTTATAGAAATGGATAATCAAAAAGGGAACTGGCCAACAAAGATAAAAGCACAGCAAAGAAATGAAAAGTGATAACACTGAAAATAAAACTGGAATCAAGCATAAATGGAGTTATAGAGGGAATGACTGACTGTGGGAATGTTGACACTGCCACTGTTCAAGAAAATGAGGAAAGTGGCTATGATAAAAAAGGATGAAAATGTCTTAGAGGATGTGAAGTGGGCAAAAATTTTACAATTCTTGGAGATATTCCAAGACATCGAAAGGGCAAGGGATAAAATGTTGGAAGCTGATTCAGAATTAGAAAGTGGTATGACAATTTATTTAATAAAAAAATTAATGATAATAGATTGAGACTTATACTTTCCCTCTTTCACAGAATTTATTACATACGGGCTATAGCTGGAAGATGTACATATCAAGTTATGTGGCTGCAGCTATTAATGTTCAACTTGCTATCTGTAATAGCACAGTTGTTTAAGATTTGTCTTTAAAGTATTCTGAGATAGGTAGAAGTAACTACTGTTCTTCATATATGTAAAGCAATGTTAATTAAAGGAAAAGTATCTTTATAGGAACTACTAGCTGTATCTTTATTTCAAATGGGATTAAGACTATCCATTGTGAATTTTCATTTTTCACTGGTAAATGAATTTTCCTGTTACCCAGGTGTACTAGGCATATGGGTGAAGCGGCATTACAAAAACACTTTTCTAATATCTTAATCTGAAATAATTGGTAAACGAGGCATGTGGTGTTCCTTTTGTGAGTAGATTATTATTGAAAGGAGCTATAAAGGTAGTAAAATCATTCTTCCTTTAAAAATGTAATTTCAGTGCTTTTGTAAAAAAGATTGTTTTATAATCTCTGAAATGGAGGATGAAATTGGGTTTCCAATAAACTATAGGATTAACTTGGTATGAAAGATTACTACAAAGAAATATAATTTAATAATTTATACAATGCATAAAGGAAGCAAACAGGGAAGTCATAGATCATTTAGTGTGAACGTCAGGAATGGACAGCAGATCCCAGAAAATAATAGTACTGTCTACTCTAAAGCTAGAATTTTAACTTTTTAGATTTTTATTTGTAGTGAAAATTGATTTTCGAGCCATTATATTTTTATTTCTAAGGTTTTGCTTGTTGAATCAATAACCTAATTAAGCTGGAAATAATCCCTTTTATACCTTTACAATTTCTAATGGAAATATTGTTAACTTTCTTTTGTCTACAACCCATGCTTTCCTAAGTGGGTAGGCGTGACATTTGCACAGTTAACAATTATTTTCATTACAGTAGCTGTACACAAATTTTCCTTACTATAGACTTAATGTTTGTGAGAGCAAAAATAAATTATAAAATTATGACTTTATCTATGCCTTTTCCAAAAGACAAACTTTAGCTTAAATAATTATAGGAATTGTGATACACATGATTATAAAGACTTTCTGAAGATCTTATTTAAATTATAAGTATTATTTAATTTTCAATAAATTTATATTTTTATAAAGGAGGAAAAACTGCCCAGTATTTCTTGTTCAACAAAGATAAATTATCCTTTCCTTAAAAATTTGTTTTATAATACTTGTTTTGATTTCCAGCTATTTGTATCATACAAGTTTAACAAGGGGGAAAACTCTATTTCCTGATTGATTTGTGGAAAATAATCAGTCATTTTAAATGAAGTTAGCAAATGATCATATAAGAAATTGTACCACTTGATGATAAAAACCTTCAACAAACTAGGCATCAAAGGAACATACCTCAAAATCAAAAGAACTGCTTAAGACAAACCCACAACCAGCATCATACTGAGTGGAGAAAAATTGATAGAACCATTAAGAAATAGAACAAGAGGAAAGATGTCCATTCTCACCACTCCTATTCAACATAGTACTGGAAATCCTAGCCAGAGCAGTCAGGCGAGAGAAAGAAATAAAAGCATTCATATTGGAAAAGAGGAAGCCAGATTATCTTTGTTCACTGATGACATGATCATATACTTAGCCATAAAGACTCTTACAAAGACTCCTAGTCTTGATAAATGACTTCAGTAAAATGTCAGGATACAAAATCAATGTATGAAAATTAGTAGCATTTTGATACAACAGTAACTTTCAATCTGAGAACCAAATCAAGAACTCAGTCTTATTTTTAATAACTACAAAAAAAAATACCTAAGGATACATTTTACCAAAGAAATGGAAGATCTCTACAAGGGGAACTGCAAAACACTGGTGAAAGAAATCTTAGATGACACAAACAAATAAAAGGCATTTCAGGTTCATAGATTAGAAGAATCAACATTGCTAAAATGACCATACTGCCCAAAGCAATCTATAGATGTAATGCAATCCTTATAAAAAATGACATCATTTTTCACAAAATAGAAAAAACACTCCTAAAGTTCACGTGGAACCAAAAAAGAGCCTGAATAACCAAAGCATCCTAACAAAAAAAAAAAAAAAAACGAATATGGAGGCATCCTATTGTCTGACTTCAAATTATACTACAACGCTGTCGTAACCAATACAGCATGGTACTTACAGAAAATGGACACATAGATCGTTGGAACAGCATAGGCAACCCAGAAATAAAACCACATACCTTCAAACAACCGATGTTGGACAGGGTAGACAAAATAAACAGTGGGGAAGGGACACCCTATTCAATAATGGTTCTGGGAAGAATGAAACTTTATCCCGTCTCTCACCATATATAAAATGGTGCAGAAGAACAAAACTGTATCCCATCTTTCACCATATACAAAAATCAACTCAAGATGGATTTGGAACGTTAAGACACGAAACTATAAAAATTCTTGAAGAAAACCTAGGTAAAACTCTTCTGAACATTGGCCTAGGCAAAGTATTTATGATGAAAATCCCAAAAGGAAATACAGCAAAACCAAAAATTGACAAATGGGACTTAATTAACTAAAAAGTTTCTTCACAGCTAAAGAATCACGAAGAGTAAATAGCCTTCAGAATTGTAGAAAAACTTGCAAATGATGCCTGACAAAAGACTAATATTTAGAATCTACAAAAAACAAGAAAAAATAACCCCATTGAAAACTGAGCAAAGTACATGAACAGATACTTCTCAAAAGAAGAAATACAAGTGGGCGACAAACGAATAAATGCTCAACGTCACTATCAGAGAAATGCAAACTAAAACCACAGTATATCGTCATACATCAGTCGGAATGGCTATTACTGAAAAGTCAAAAAACAACAGATGTTAGTGTTGATGTGGGGAAAAGGGAATACTTATACACAGTTGGTGAGAATGTAAATTAGTTCAACCTCTATGGAAAACGGTATGGAGATTTCTCAAAGAACTAAAAATAGAACTACTGTTTAATCTAGGAATCCCACTGCTGGGTTTCTACCCAAAGAAAATGGAATCATTCAATTGAAAAGACATGTATACTCATATGTTCATCAAGGTACTACTCACAATAGCAAAGTCATAGAACCAGCCTAATTGTTCACCAGTGATTGACTGGATTAAGAAAATGTGATATATATCATGTAATACAATGTAGCCATTAAAAAGAACGAAATCATGTCCTTTGCAGCAACATGGATGGAACTTGAGGTCATTACTCTAAATGAACTAACTCAGAAACAGAAAACAAAGTACCACATGTTCTCACTTATAAATGGGAAGTAAACAATGGGCACACATGGAAAATAGTAGAAGGAACTCCAAAAAGAGGGAAGTTGTTGGTTGGGGGCGGGGGGGCGCAGGGCAAGGGCTAAAAAAAAATTGCCTAATAAGTACAATGTTCACTGTTTGGTTAATAGGTACAATAGAGGCCCAGTCCCCACCAGTATGCCATATACTCATGTAACAAACATGCCTACAAAACCCCTGGATACAAAATAAAATATTTTTTAAAAAGATTTTATTATATATCCTAATTTTAATATTGTTTTCATTAATTGTTGCTATTTGACACTAACAATTAATGAATGAATTACTAATCTTAATATATTAATGGACCCTTATTTCCCATTTGGTTGTCATCTATCTATCTATCTGTCTACCTATCTATCTATTTGCCATTGCTCATGTCTGCTATAGGAAAGAAGAAGCCAGAGATCAGTTTTATGTTCCAGGATGAGATTGAAGGTTTTTTAAGGAAACACATACAAGATGCCCCTGAGGAGTTTATTTCGGAACTTGCTGAGTATTTAATAAAGCAAGTATAAAATGTATTTTTTCTATTTTATGATAGAAATTCAATGGGTTATTAAATAAAATTTTTCCAAGATCATAGAAAGCATATGTATTAAATGTTTTCTTTTCAAACTTGGAATTTAACCTAGCCACCAAATGCCAGATTTTATTTGCCTACAGAGGCAGTTTAATTCAACAAATATTTGTTAAGTGTTTTGGGCAAGGCAGTATGGGAAACAAAAGGCAAGATCCAGAAAGTGTCCTCACTCACTGATCTTACAGTCTTAAGTCTTGGTTGGGGAGAAAAATAACAGCATTAACCACTGGCTGGTCTCTCCTATGGCACGAAAAATAACATTCAAAAGGAAGAAAAGATAATTTTCTATTTTAATCTGACAAAGTAAACAGTGTTTACTCTTAGGGAGAATATGAAGTAAAAGTTCACTTCAAAAAAATTAATTTAGGCACTCCTACCTTGTGAATGAACCAGGCTAAGGGTATTTTTATATAAAAATGAAGAAAATTATGTAGTAACTAACCTGGTCATCCATCAAGTTAGTTCCACTGTGTAAGCTTCCATAAATACAATCCAGAAGACCAATGCATCTAGCTTTGATTTTAGAAATAAAACTTTTGTAGTAATTTTTTAATATAAATAATTTTTATGCATAAATATATTACAGAACTATATTTTTCACATGTAAAAAAGTGAAATACTACTAATCATTTTCCACTGCTTTTTAAAATAAGGCATAAAAAGTTTTTTTTATGTATTTTAGCATTTTAAAAATTGAGACTTTTAAGTTGTAATTGTTGAAGAACAGATTTATAGTCTACTATTCTCCAAATTAATTCTAAAAAGCTATTTTGAATTGTGGGTACTTTGTTATTCTTGGTGTCTTAAGTGCAATAACTTTGAATACTTAAAAATAGAGAAAATTCATCTATTTCTGTTTTAATTACTAGGGTTGGGGAACAAATTGTTAGCGAACTTGTCTCCAAATTAGTTTTATTTGTTTAAAAAAATAGAGCTCTCTATTATGCCTTATTTTCATAGAAACAAAATTTTTTATCTACGTATATAGTACATTTAATAAACTAAATATGTTTGTCTTGTGCACAGACCTCTTAATAAAACTTATCTCGAGGTGGTACGTTCAGTATTCATGTCTTCAACAACTTCTGGGACGGGCAGAAAACGCACAATCAAGGACTTGCAAGAAGAAGTTTCAAACCTGTACAATAACATTAGGTTATTTGAAAAAGGGATGAAGTTTTTTGCAGGTATACTTAATCTTATTTTTTCATTGATTTTCATAATTTGGGGAAGAAATTAGTTTTAATAAAGCTCCTTTATTTTCCAGATGACACACAGGCTGCTCTTACCAAACACTTGCTGAAGTCAGTGTGTACTGATATCACTAACCTCATTTTCAACTTCTTAGCTTCGGATTTAATGATGGCAGTAGATGATCCTGCAGCCATTACAAGTGAAGTATGTTAATGATCTGCTTACCACTCTTGATGGGTTCTGTTTTGCATGTATACACATGGGTTCTGTTTTGCATATATACACATTTTATTTTGTCTTATTGAAGTAGTTAAAGAGGAAAATAAAATGCAGTAAAAGATATTTGAGGAAAAAAATCAAAGATTTTTCATTTAACTTTAGTACAATATATATACATTTGCTAGCAGTATTTGGTAGTATAATTAGTCTGTAAAAAGTAATTATGCATCATGATTTTAGAATAAACAGTTTTTTCCTAAATATTATGTCACATTCCCTTTTCCAGATGACTGGCAAATCCCATAACATTCTGGCGTTTCCATAACTTTACAGTTATTTTCCTTTAAGGACATCTCATTTCAATATTTAGACTAATTCCAATTTCATTTTTTAAAATTGTAATCTCAAACTAAATTCAAAAGCTCATCTCTTCCCTTCTTGTGATGTTATGTGGACCAATGGCTCCTCGTTGCCTAGAGGAAGAAAGGTGTGGTCTACTCAAAGATGACAACCCCTCCTCCTTCTTCTCCTCTTCTCTATCCTCCTCCCACCTCCTTCACCTCCTTTTCTTCCTCCTCTTTCTTATTCTTCCTTCTTCCTCACCTTTCTAGGTCCACTTCAAGTTGGACATTTAGGGAAAATGAGAGAGGAAAAACTGTCTTGATACGACTAACTGCATATCACTGCTTTGATCAAGGTCAAACCAAATCAGCCTGATGTTTGTGGTCTTTGGTGATATAGTTAGTGATTGCCATATAGATGATATAAGTTGTTTCTTGGAATGTTGTTCAGTTTCATGTAACTTTTCACAGTAAGGACCAACCCTCAAACAGAGAGGTATGGTTATTTCTTCCTCCTATCCCAGCAAGGTGCTGGCCCTGTTCCCTTCTGCTTGAGTAGCAAATCCCCAATTATCTGGACAATTTCATGTGTCCTTCTATAGGAAATACAGGAGATCTTGTTCCATTCCCTTTAGGGGCCACAGAAAGATAGGCGTGGGACTGGGGCAGAGAGGCTAGACAGGGGCAACAAGCCCCCGTCTTCCCAGACATTATACCCCTTAGGGCCTGTTGTCAAGCCATTCCAGCAAGTTTCCTCCAAAATTTTATGCCAGAAGAAATAAATGATTCTCGTCAAGAAAACCATCAAACTTCATTGGGCACTAACATGTAGAAGAGGTGCTGAAAATGTTCCTCACACCATAGAGCATAACAAGCATCCAGCCATGAACAAGAGCTCAGTTCATCTTATAGGCATCCCTGATCTTTATGAGTGGGGCCCTTCATAAGGGGAGAAAAAAACTAGCACTGGGGAGAAAAAAACACTCTCTTCCTACTTCAATGGAAGAATTAGCCTCTTACCCCAAATACTCTGTTTCTCACAGGGTCAATGATTCTCTCTTGTCTTTCTCATATTGCTGGAGCAGGTGGAAGTAGCAGGGCTGTATCTCGCCTTTTGGGCTGATTGGCTGTTGACTAGCTCTCGAATGTTTTTTGTCTCTAATTTGAGATCTAAAATTCAAGAATATGATAAAATCCACTCAGCAATTTGTTACAGTATTTTTTTCACTTTATCTTATGTCCACTGCATGTCAAAAGCACAGTACTGAAAGATTTTTTATTTACCCCCACAGATAAGAAAAAAAATTCTAAGTAAATTATCAGAAGAAACCAAAGTAGCTCTTACAAAACTCCATAACTCTTTGAATGAAAAGGTAAGTAAAGTTTTATTCTATTTAGATGTCAGGAAGCAGTGTGTTACAAAGATCTTTGAGTAGATCCAATCTTAAACTAATCTTTTGCACTCAGCTACCTCTTTGAAAGGTGAAGGGAAGACCAAGCTGCTGGCATTTTACAATTTTCAGTTCTATATCACAGTTTCTAATTTATTGAGGAAGGGACCCTTTTAAAAATTGTATTTAGGATGTAAAATTACAAAACAGTTATTAAATAGCTATACTTCTTTAGGCAGCCATATAGAAAAGTAAATTATGGTATTCATTGCCTTTTCAGAGCATAGAAGACTTCCTTTCTTGTCTGGATTCTGCAGCAGAAGCTTGTGATATTATGGTTAAAAGGGGAGACAAAAAAAGGGAAAGGTAACATTCAATAAATCTGTATTGTTAATGTTCTTAAATGTGAGACTTTTCAGATCTGAAATCTGAATTTGACTGCCTGACTCTTACATAGAGAATATATATCTAATGTATCTAATATTCCTAAATGGCTGTAGACCTTCAAGCACATTCAAAGTCTTAAAATAGTCAGATATTTCTCTCTGACCCTCTGGATCAAGTAGCAGAGTTTCTTTATCCTACAGTTAATCAAGCCCAGGAACTTTTTATTAGCCTGGGGACTTTTCCTTACAGGAAACCTCATCTAAATCAGTGCAAATTTGTTTGACCTCCAGCAACTCAAAACAAAAAACATACTTCGAATGTTCCTCCTTGAATTTTCTAGCATACTACTCTATCTATGCCATTTAGGTTTTATATGTATATATCTGATATTGAAAAGTTAAAATGTTTATGGAATTAAATTTCTTAGAAAAGCTAAAAATTAACAGAAAGGGATAAATTGAAATTGGTGAGAACTTTTTAAATTATGATAATGCATTTGTGTGCTGTTTTATTATTTATTTAGACAGATACTGTTCCAACATCGACAAGCCCTGGCAGAACAGCTAAAGGTCACAGAAGACCCTGCTCTTATTCTGCACCTCACATCAGTTCTGTTGTTTCAGTTTTCAACCCACAGCATGCTCCATGCACCTGGAAGATGTGTCCCACAGATCATTGCTTTTCTTAATAGTAAAATTCCAGAGGTATTACATTTTCAATACACTTGAAACTTTTCAAAGGTTTAGATTCTGAATATTTTGAGTGGATCGAGATGAATTATTGTCAGCACTCAGGCATAAAATATATCAACATCAGAGGCCACTTCCAATAATGTGAACAGTGGATTAGGGGATTAATTTTTTAATATTAGGCATAGCTTAAGAATCTTTCAAGAATATTCTGAATTTGGAAACTAAGCTTTAAGAAAAGATACAAGAATGTCAGATCTCCCATTTCAGTTTCTTTAGGTTTAACTTATCCTTCAAAGACCCGTTCAAAAGTCTTGTCCTATCTCTTTTAGCTAAAAAAAACTCCTCAGCTAAAAGGGAACTTCCCTGTTCCTTTGACTGTACCTTTGATGATAGAAACTGGCAAAGTCAACTTACAGTTAAAGTGATTTGCATTGATGTTTTATCTCTTCTAAACTGTAAACTCCTTAAGAGCAGAAACTTTGCTAGATTAGCCTTGCTGCTTCCATGGCCAGTGTTTTGTAACAATGAGGACCTTCAATGTATATTAGTTGAAGAAATTCTACTTCATCTGTTCCACAAAAAGTTACATTGTGTTGATTAACTTTTTCTTTCCCTTTTTGCAGGATCAGCATGCTCTTTTGGTAAAGTACCAGGGTTTGGTTGTAAAGCAGCTAGTCAGTCAAAATAAGAAGACTGCACAGGGAGATTATCCCTTGAATAATGAATTAGGCAAAGAACAAGAAGATGTTGCCAATACTACTCGTAAAGAGCTTCAAGAACTTTCTTCATCTGTTAAAGAACTTGTTCTCAAATCTAGGAAATCGTCTGTGACAGAAGAGTAACGATCTTAATTTACATTTGTCATATAGTAAGCATTTTCCCCCAAGGTTGAAGGTGAGTGGTCACAAAAAAGTAGTCACTGTACAACTCCCATCTCCCCCCAGATACCACCTCACACACACACAATTCAGTTAAAACAGTACTGTTGTATTAAAGGTAAATGTTAAAAAGATGTGAATTTTTTGTTCTTCATGGAAGTTTTTTTTTTCCCACCTTATTTTCACACAAATGCTATATGAAGTGTTTCATATAAACATTTTCACATAATTTTAAAAATTACGTATTTTAGGTTTGTTTTCTTTCCAAATCTTGAATGAAAAACAAATTTTCTGATCCATTCACCCCTGGGAAAGGATTCATTTGTTGCGAGTGCCAGTGCTACACTTATATACATTTAAGCAGAAATTTAAAATGTGGTCATGCTTTTTTATAAAGAAACATTTCTGTGTCAGAAGTGAAATGAAATCATGTATTGTATTTCAAAATTAATAGAAAACACTTCAAAACTAAAATATTTTTTTGCAAATTTCTGTGTTTTATTACTAAGCCCTTGCTCTTATTTTTGGCAGATTTTAGTTGGGGCTACAAGGATGCCCTTACAGGTGCGCAGGAACACTAGAGGGGCTCATGCATTGCTGTGTTCTATTCTAAAACAAGCTACTAACAAGAGAGAGAGAACACATAGAATTTATCACCAGTAAGCATAAGTCATATTTAACATTGGAATAACTAAACATTTTATACAAAGATTTTTCTCTGACCTAGTTTACTTTTGTACATTTTATTTTAATTCAGTAGCTGCTCTATCACATAATACTTTGTAAATACTAGTGTGAAAAACAGATAGGATGCCTTTTTCAGTCGTAAGAGTATCTGTAAGTGCATTTAGATCATTAGAAGCTTTTTTCCAAAACTAGAAGCCCTTATTTAAAAAAGAGGTATTTTTGTTTTCTAAAGATTATTAGTTAGAAATAACTAAAGAGTTCCTTAGAATAATCATTTCAACCAACTGAATTTCAAGCAACAACTTATTATTTATCAGAAAGGAATTATTTTGATATAACTATAAATTTCAAATGTTTAAAAAATACTATTTTATATAATTCCTTATGACATTTTAAACTTTATATTTTACACTATTTGAATACAAAAAGATCAGTCTACCTCTACTCATTCTAGACAAAAATATTAATCTTTACTGAAAGTAATTAATTAAATTGCTGACTTAATTAAGTTGATAGGAATGCAACATTAAATTTAAAAATGTTTTTCCATGGGTAATTTTCTATTATATATTTTCATATTGGCAAAGGAAAAAATGATAAATTCTCTGTGATCACAAACCCCAATTTTGTTTGTTTATTCAGCTTCTAAAATATTGAACACCCAGACTTTTAATTCAACCTTTAAGAACCTTACATTTATGTTCAGCAAATATCAAAGTAATCCATGTTTGTGTCAAATGATCATAGAAAATAAATAAAAGAGAAGGTGAAAAGTAAAAAGAAAACCATTGTATTAATGGTTTTACTTGTATTAATTTTTTTTCATTTATCAAAATGCTTATGTTGCCACAGTAAAGTTTTTATTATTTTGTAAGTAAAATTACATGGTTGATTTTGTATGTAAAGATTAGTTTCCTTAACAAAAATTATTAAATGTTTACTGTGATCTTAATGGGCAAGATTAAGAACGTTATTTAAAATAAAGTTACCTGTTCTAAATTTTATGGTACTTTGAAGCTTCTATTATTTTAATTAACACAAAGATTAATTGGAGCATGTTTTTTGTATATACATTTTGAATTTTCATTTTGAACATTATTAAAGGATTTTTTCTTACACAAAAATAGTTCCATAGTTCTCAGTCTTTCATTCCTTGAGAATTTGCCATTCTTGAACCATTTTATCTTAGTAAATTATTTCTCAACTACATTTCAGCAAATGTGTAGCTGTATTCTTGCATATGCTAATTCCTGTTATTGCAGTTAGGGTAGATAAATCAGAAAATGTGCTCAGGTATTCATGTTCATATGTCCTAGCTCTAGACTTACATGCTTTTAAGGAGTCAAAGGAATCTCCTGGCCATCAGAAAGATCCAATAAAAAGTAACATATAATATCAAAATCACAGTGTATTTTGTGAAAAGACCTTAATGCTAAATCAGGACAATAAATCTAATATTTGCTTAGCCTGAATGTAGAGCCATCTTGAACTTATTAGAGAATATGCTTTAGTCAGGAATGAGGTCAGGGTGCAAGGGTGATCTGAAGCCAGAATCATTGAAAAGGAACAGTTCATTCAAAAATGCCACTAAACCAAGGGTGTCTTAGTCCATTTTCATGCTGCTGATAAAGATATACCTGAGACTGGGCAATTTACAAAAGAAAGGTTTATTGGACTTACATTTCCACGTGGCTGGAGAGGCCTCACAATCATGGCAGAAGGTGAAAGGCAATGTCTACATGGTGCCAGACAAGGGAAAAGGAGCTTGTGCAAGGAAACTCCCCTTTTAAAACCATCAGATCTCATGAGACTCATTCACTATCATGAGAACAGAGCAGGAAAGACCCACCGCATAATTCAGTCATCTCCCACCCGGTTCCTCCCATCCATGACACATGAGAACTGTGGGAATCACAATTTAAGATGAGATTTTGGTGGGGACGCAGTCAAACCATATCATTCCACCCCTGGTTCCTCCCAAATCTCATGTCCTCACATTTCAACACCAATCATGCCTTCCCAACAGTCACCCAGAATCTTAACTCATTTTAGTATTAACCCAAAAGTCCACAGTCCAATGTCTCATCTGAGGCAAGGCAAGTCTTTTCTGCCCATGAACCTGTAAAATCAAAAGCAAGCTAGTTACTTCCAAAAAAAAAAAAAAAATGGTACAGGTGTTGGGTAAACACAGCCGTTCCACATGGGAGAAATTGGCTAAAACAAAGGGGCTGCAATCCCCATACAAGTCCAAAGTTCAGCAGGCAGGCAAATCTTAATGCTCTCAAATGATCTCCTTTGACTCCATGTTTTGCATCTGAGTCAGACTCATGCAAGAGGTGAGTTCCCATGGTCTTGGGGTTTGCAGGGCACAGCCTCCCTCACAGCTGCCTTGACAGACGTGTTGAGTGTCTACGGCTCTTCCAGACACATGGTGCAAACTGTCAGTGGATCTACCATTCTGGGGTCTGTAGGACAGAGGCCCTCATCTCAGACCTCCACTAGGCGGTGCCCCAGTAGGGACTCTGTTGGGGGGCTGCCACCCCACATTTCCCTTCTACACTGCCCTAGCAGAGACTCTACATGAGTACCCTGCCACTGCAGCAAACTTCTGCAGGGGCATCAGGTGTTTCCATACATCTTCTGATACATAGGCAGAGGTTTTCAAACCCCAATTCTTGACTTCCGTGCACTTGCAGGCTCTACATCACATGGAAGCTGCCAAGGCTCAGGGCTTGTACCCTCTGAAGCCAGGGCTGTAGTGGTTGGGACACAGGGCACCAAGCTCGTAAACCCGGCCCACAAAACCATTTTCTCCTAGGCCTGGGCCTGTGCTGGCAGAGGCTGCCATGAAGACCTCTGACATGCCATGGAGACATTTGCCTCATTGTCATTCGGTTCCTTGTTACTTATGCAAATTTATGCAGCTGGCTTGAATTTCTCCTCAGAAAATGGGTTTCTCTTTTCTATTGCATTGTCAGGCTGCCAATTTTCCAAACCTTTATGCTGTGCTTCCCTTATGAAACTGAATGCATTTAATAACACCCAAGTCACCTCTTGAATGCCTTGCTACTTAAAAATTTCTTCCACCAGATACACTGAATCAACTCTCTCAAGTTCAAAGTTCCACAAATCTCTAGGGCAGGGAAGAAACACCACCAGCCTCTTTGCTAAAACATAATAAACGTCACCTTTGATCCAGTTCCCAACAAGTTCCTCATCTCCATCTGAGACCACCTCAGCCTGGACTTTATTGTCCATATCGCTATCACCATTTGAGGCAAAGTCATTCAACAAGTTTCTAGGAAGTTCCAAACTTTCCCACATTTTCCTGTCTCCTTTTGAGCCCTCCAAACTGTTCTAACTTCTGCCTGCTAACCAGTTCCAACATCAATTCCAGATTTTGGGGCATCTTTTAAGCAGCACCCCACTCTACTGCTACTAATTTACTGTCTTAGTCCATTTTCATGCTGCTGATAAAGATATACCCAAGACTGGGCAATTTACAAAAGAAAAAGGTTTACTGAACTTACAGCTTCACATGGCTGGGGAGGCCTCAAAATCATGGCAGAAGGTGAAAGGCATGTCTTACATATGGCAGACAAGAGAATTTGTGCACAGAAACTCCTCTTTTTAAAACCATCAGCTCTCATGAGACTCATTCACCATCACAGGAAGAGCACAGGAAAGACCTACCCCCATAATTCAATCACCTCCCACCAGGTTCCTCCCATGACATGGGAAATGTGGGAGTGACAATTCAAGATGGGATTTGGGTGGAGACAGCCAAACCATTTCACAGAACCAAGTGGGATTTTTTTCTATCAAGAACTAACTTAAGTGAGTACGAGGATGGAAGAGTGGCTTTTCACTAAGACCAATGAAAACTTTTCCCCAATATACAAGAGATGAGATAAAAGCACATTAAAAAAAACTCTCAGGAGATAAAAGCACATAAAAAATTCTGGGAGCACTATTCAAGTGGCTAATTAAATGATCTACAAATTCACACAAGTTGTTCTATCTTGAGGACCCTACTAAGCATACAACAGAATAAATAGAAGCCAGGAGAGACTTCTTCCAAACCATCTAAGAATAAACTCTCTTTGACTTTCAGGCTTTCAGAAAAACAGGTTGTAATCTACTTACATCACAAAAAAGAAGGCATAACCACTGTAAACATGCATTCAACACTTACAAGTTCCCAGTGTTGTATTATTTATCAAACTTGCCCCTAGTTGCATCTCTATTTCTCTTAAGTGATTAGTAGTAAGACAACCTGGGTGTTGGTCTTAAGGAGCAGGAAAGACAGGATTCTGTTGATGATGAGATGGAAGAAAGGGAGGACAAGGTGAATTTATGGACTTGGCCTGATTTACTGGATCTTGTATGACAGACAAATACTAGGAATGCAGATATAAACTTTAAAGATACACTTTACTTTCAAGGAGATAAAAAGTCAACAATTACAGTTAAATATAGTGTTTTGATAGAGGTGCACAGAGGATGTTGTGACAAGAAATGAAATTCAGATTGTATTGGATAATGGGGAGGCTAGAAATGACACCTGAACCAAGAATCCAGAGACAAAAAGAAGGATTGGGGAATGCTGGGAAGAGGGCCGCCTAAGAACAGCTCAGGACTTCAGCTCCCAGTGAAAGTGCAGAGGGTGAGTGGACGCCGCATTTCCAGATGAACTCTTATTGCCCACAGACCAGGAGATACCCAGGCAGAGGGGTCGCCAGCGTCGCAGTCCCAGCCCGCGCGGCTGCTGTGACCACGCCCTGTTGCTGCGATTCTCCATACAAAAGCCACTGGTCTGGGAGCCCTCTTAGCTGGCGAGCAGAGCCCTGAGACGGCAGAGTTGCCCATTCATCTGAAATAGCGAGTCAGGCCAGGAGATTCCTAGGCAAAAAATCCGCCAGGAGCCGGCGCCGCAGTTCGAGCCGACTCCATGAGTCGCAGCACGGGAGATCCCGGCGCCTTTTCAACAAGCGACCGGAACGCGGGGTCGTTCAACTTAAAAGACTCTGAGTCAGGGAGCCAGGTGATCAGGCTCGGTTGGTCCCACCCCTCCACCCCCAACAACAACGAAAACAAAAACAGTAATTGGAAACCCTCTGGGTTGAGCCCTTCAAACCAAGCACAGCTGAACCGGGACAGTCTGGCTCGGTGGGGGAGGGGCTTCCGCCATTACTGAGACTCTCCACCGCTACGGAGGCAGGCTGCCGTTGCCTAGGCAACCCGCTGTTGCCAAGGCAACCTGCCGAAACAGAGAGAGTCCGCCATAACAGAGCATAACAGAGGTGGGGCCACCATTGCGGAGACAGTTCTAAGTACACCCATATAAAAAGGACTACAGGGAAGAGCTCAGAGCAGCTGGACAGAGCCCACAGCAGCTCAGCAAAGCCCCTGCGGGCAGGCAGTGGCTAGGCGTGCTGCTAGCTGGGCGAGTCAGACCTGAAAGAAAAATCAAAAAAGGCAGTAGTGCAACGGAAACTCATAAAGCTCCAACTCCCTGGGACAGAGACAGACAACAGGTGGATAAACCCACAAAAATGGGAAGAAACCAGCGCAAAAAGGATGAAAACTCCCGAAACCAGAACACCTCTCCTCCTAAAAGGGATCACAACTCCTCACCAGCAAGGGAACCAGACCGGATGGAGAAGGAGGGTGATGAAATGACAGAATCAGACTTCAGAAGGTGGGTAGTAAGAAACTACAGTGAGCTAAAAGAACATGTTCTAACCCAACGCAAAGAAAATAGGAACCTTGAAAAAAGATTGGATGAACTGCTGATGAGAATGGATAGCATAGAGAGGAGTATAAGTGAATTGATGGAGCTGAAAAATGCAACACGAGAACTTCGTGAAGCATGCACAAGCTTCAACAACCGAATTGACCAAGCAGAAGAAAGGATATCAGAGGTCGAAGATCAACTCAATGAAATAAAAAGACAAGGCAAGAACAGAGAAAAAAGCACAAAAAGGAATGAACAAA